GATATCTCCTTGAGGAAGTCCAGCTGTCAGCTGAAGCAAGATACAGCTAAACCAGAGCTTTTTCTCTTCCCCCAAGCCTTCTTTGCCACTTCCCTTTTTAATCCATTTAGACAACATCAGCATCCTGGCCATTCTCAGGCCTGTATTGAAYGTCAACTTTTACCAAGGTATTTTTCCACATCCTCACACTTAGTTATATCTAATCCTGCCTTCTTTTTTCCCTGTGAACCAGCTCCCTACGTTATATCCACTGTTACTTAACTGGATGAATTCCTCCTTCCTACCTTCCTTTGCCTACCCGCCTAACAACTTGCCAGTTTTCCTGGAGCTATTTGAATGTTACACCAATCTAAGTCATATCCCAGACTGTCCTTGGGGAGTTTTGATTTGAATAGGGAAAACGTAAGTGCCATTTCTCAGTAACTGTTTTACTTGATGAAATGCAGTCCATTGCTGAGTCTTTTATGGCAGAAATATTGGGAGGACTGTATTTTATAAAGCCAGTGATAAGAGAAAGAATTTTCCTACCCCTTTTATTCAACAGAGTAATAATTTAAGTACACGGCAAACACATAATTCTGCCCACTATATATATATAATTTTTTTTTCTTGTTGAGGAGATGGGAAGTCATGTTTCAGACACAAGCCTTAACCCTTGTGTTTTGTGGCAGAGGTAAAATGAAGGTTTCCTTCCTCTCTATCATGAATACTATTTCATTTTGTAAAAAATATTTCAATATCAGAGTCATTTCTTGGGATGCAGCCAATGGAAGTAAACCTTTCATATAGGTTTTTCAAGCAATGTTTAAATCCATTATTCATTAAAAATACCTGAAATGGAAATACAGAATCCTTGCATTTGCTTTATACAAAGTACACTGCCTTGTTTTCATGTTTTGTCAAGAAAAAAAAGATAATTCTGAATCCAGTCAAAGCATTTTTTCTCTTCTCAGTTTAACTGCCACAATGAAAAATTTGTGCAATCTTCTTATAGTCCTCTTATAGTCTATGTTCYCTTCCCCCTCTGAAAATAGCTGTGTCACTTCTATAGCAATTGATCTTTTTAAATCCAAGTCAAATTTGGCCCTTGGTCAGTCTCAGTGGCTTCATTCCAACTGGTGGCCAACGAAGGGAGGCTGCAGAGCTCCTTYGATACAGTGGTCCTATCAGTCACAAAACTGTTCGGAGGCCTTTTCGGCCTCCCTTGCCTTYTGCTTCAGATGCTCTGTTGATATAMATATTAATGAATATTGATTAATTGAGTAGGATATCATGTTTATCTTTTTCTTTACGCACTCGTTTTGGCAGACTCTTCCTTGTGTGTGTGTGAATTTTCTGATTGTTTTGATGTCTTGACATTGGGCCTGCTTGAGTCTCAGCATTGGACCTGATAGCTTTGCATTTTCTCGTCAGATCTGGTTTTGTTCCACTCTAATGCTTGGTTTGCATTCCCAATTCCCTGGCTGTACTGGTATTGAAATGTTAGTTGTGTGTAGGATCACACTGATGGTAACAAGGGAGAGGCTCTTTCATATCATGTTAGTGTCAGGTTTACCCTGGTCCCAGGAATACGTGCAATCCGAGCCTGTAATGTTACCCTGACAAAGCAGGTTATGGTAATAGGACATGTCAGAGATTAGAAAGTTCACTGCACATCCAGGAGACCATGAGATTGATACGATGATTAGCTGAAACTGYCCCTTGCCACTCTTCCATAAGAGAAAATCAAGGAATAATCATCAGGGAAAGGTTCTCAGATCAAGAGCTGTGAATCAAGACTTAGGACACTGATTTTTGTGGCCTAGTTTTGCAAAACAATCCCCTGCAGAAGAGGGACTGCTCCAAAACTTGGCACCGCATGCAGGCCGCATGGATCCRACTCCCGGGAAACCCGAACGCGAGGCTGAGAAGAGCACGTAGGGAGTGCCGACTAAAATAAAATACAGTAAGGGAAGTACTGGCAGGGAGGACGCAGGACTGCAGAGGCATATACGCTGTGCAGCTCCAGCTGCTCGAGGCAGCCCCGGAGGCTCTCCACGAGATGGGGCATGCGTCATCTGAGATATAGCATTAATAYCAAAAAGCAGTTGGTAATAATTCTTACGAGGCAGCACCTAATTAGCTGGGGTTCCAAGTTTTAACAGCTTTAATTTTCTGATTCCTTAGGATGCCATTTTTAACTTGCCTTTGTGCCRGTATCAGGACAACCATCCCATTGAGCTGCGCATGGCGGAGGGTGTTGGCGATGATTTATGCCGAGCTCCCTGGCTTTAAATAGGCTTTGGTTCAAGCAGTGGGAGCTGGTGAAATGAGTGGGTGCTTCCCATCTGTGAGCAGCAGTATATCCCTGTGCAGATGCCTTCAAGGGCACCAATCCTGGCAACCCGTCTCGAGCGCTTCCTAAAACAGTTTCTCAAGTGCTTCCTAAAACTGCTCCATGGAGTTCATCAGGCCACGCGGGCAGATGCAGGGATATGCTCCAAAAGGGGAAACCTTGGCTCCAGTGAAACTGCTGCTTTGGAAATCCCTATGGAGGGCTCTGGTTTGTAGCATATCAACCTGTGGGTCATTTTGGGKTTTTTTTCATTTTGTTTTTTTACTAGCAAACAAAACATAACAGCAACAAGAACAACAAKAAAGAACTTCATGGTGTTCTATGCTTAATGCAGGTTGGCCAGGCCTGGGAACCCCGTAGCTGTGAGCTCGTCAGCACAGTTTGGGTTGTTGGAGAAGCCAACTTTACATGTGCAGCTTTCCTCCTGACACAATAAGAAAGCTGATGCCATGGTCTGGTTCTGCTCTGGAGCCGGAATCAGCTCTGCTAGTCGCTCAGTTTGCAGCAAAATTCTCCAGAAAGTTTATTCCTTGGAAATGGTGGAAATGATCCCAAAAGGACAGTGCATAGATTATTACCTCATATTCCAGATGCTTTTAATTTCCTTGTATTACTAAAAATAAAGCATCTATCTAATGCCTAATCAAAGTGGATATTAACTTCTTTTTAATAAAACTAAAACTTGATATGATGGTTAAGGGGCAGAGTAAAGTTTAAAGACATTTGAAGACATTTGCCCTTCAAAGGTTGGCACCTGTAGGCTAGAGGCAACTGGAGTGAGAGGAGAAATCAAACCACTAAAATAAATGTGCATCTCAGTTACTTGAGTCATTATCTAAGAGCAAAGGAAAAAATAGAAATCTTTGTGAAAATGTCATTACTATATGGCTTCAACTTGCCTGGCCCTGTACCTTGGATGAAACAAGTCAATACTGTCCTTGCCTTTACACATCCTTTAAAGCAATATATAAATATAGTACATATACATACATATTATATAAGTAGTACTGCACAGTTCAAGGCTGCTATAGGGAATGGAATGACATAGTCTGGGGCCGTTCTCCAAGTGATCACGGGTCACCTTTGCCCAGCTGGAGCATTGCTAAGAAGATTGTCAATATTACATGTGTGCAGTTCATAAAGGCACAAACTTTGAAAGTAAACTAAGAGCACACATGCACAGATGCATTTATTACCCTTTTTCTTTGCATCTGGGGTGGTGCAATCACAAGGCAATAGTGTCTTGGCACCAGGAGAAGCAGCAAGTGTCAAGGGCAGAGTGTGCACCAGCAGAAAGGAGATGCATGTGCAAGTCAGCAAAGGAATCAGGAATACACTGGGAGGTGTTCATTTTATCATATCATTCTGTGTTTCAAAAAAATGATTTTTAATAATATCTGTACTTGCTTTGCTGTATCTTTCATTCGTTAGAAACAAAAAATAAATCATTAGTCTCTGAAATCCTTTTTTTTTTTTTTTTTAAACATTCATTTCATTAAGACAGAACTAATTTGCTATTCCATCTACCAGCTATCCTGCTGCAGGACTAATCCTTTTTGTGCCCTAGATTTTTATTAGCCTTGCTTGGTTATTACTGAAAGATTTACTATTTAGGGTTCCTTTTAAATCCATTTGCTACTGCACTGCCTTTTCTCTTGAAAAAAAAAAGTTTTTTTGTAATTCCTTTTAAAAATCTRAAGGTCTTTTCTAACTGAAAGCACACTTACAGTAGTCTGATCTAGTATTCTTAATCATTGGTGACCTGCCTGGCAGGATATCTTCCTTAACCATCTTCCCAACATGATTCAGGATACAATTCAATTTAAAGTAGTTTTATGCTTGTAGCATTTGATCTGGAATTTATTGTACTGAAACAAAAACCTATGTAATTTTATGTGTGTTTTATTTTTCCATTTGCACAGTGCTTATGAAATATCTGCCATCAAAGTCCTTGCATTTTAGTAATGGCACCTTAGTGTTGTTAACATAAATATGCTTTATTTTTCCTGCATTCAATTCATCTGTTTTAATTCCTTAAATATTTAATGTTTCTTTCAAGATAGTTGAAAGAAGAGGGCTCTTGTCCTTTCCAGACAAGTTAAAACAGCAGAGAAACTGTGCCAGTACAGGCAGGAGCATCAGGCCATATGTGGTGTCCTTATATGTATTAAAAGTCTACCATCTAGAGAATGATCTGAGTACAGTAAGCTGCACTGTCCTGCTTGAATATATGAGCAAATTACTGTGTTTGGAGGTGGTTAAATGCATACAAACAAATCAATGAAAGTATTTTAAAAGATCTAGTAAGTCTATCTTGTATGTGTAGTCCTTCCATTAATGGTGCACAGACTGAACACAGAATGATGCAGAAATAAACACGTCTTTTTAGACAGTGTGTTCTGCACTGTCCTGTGCAGGCTTTATGAATATGGCTTTATGAATATGCATACATACAGATAGGAGGTATTTGTTGACRATGAGTGCTGACTCCTAAGCTTGATTTAAAAACTGAATGAGCTCATTATAATTCCCCTTCTCTTCCCCCTCCGCAAAATTGGTTAGACTGAGCAATCAATCTAATCTGCCTTTTTTTGAACAAGTGAACTTGTTTTAGTAAGATAGACCTGGGAGCTATAACTATTTCCCTGTCTTTTTCTTTGAACAGAATGAAAGTGCCCTTGTGAAAGAAAAGGAGTTGTCGGTGGAGCTTGCAAACATCAGGGATGAAGTGGGTAAGTAGCCCAAGCAAGGTGAAAAGTGCTTCTCCCACCTTACACACAAACCACTGTTGCTTGTGATGTGGTCCTGAGGCACCTGCATAGACATGGCAAAGTATCTCAGAAAGCTGGTGTCAAGGATGCTTGTGGCCTTGCAGGGAACAAGGGTTTTTCCCTTTTTGCTGCTGTGAAGACAAGTTCATCTCCAGACACAATGGAGCTAGTTGTGCATGATGCTAGATGACCATTTCTGCACACACCTGTAGCTTCTATTCTCAGAGATTGTCCACATGTGCCACCGCCATGAAGGAGAGAACAGTCAGATGAGCAGCACTCACATAGGTGCTCACAAGTTTTGCAGCTCAGCTGCAAAGTGCTGGACCCTGACATCAAAGCAGGGTTATTAGTATCTCTGAGGAGTTATTTACACCAGGGCAAACAGCTGGTAAGCAACAGGGAGGAGGATCCTGGTTGGTTGGACTAGATACACCTCCTTTGCCTACATGAGRGACTCCAGGCGCAGGGTCCCACACTTTGTGCCATGGGGCAGGATGGAGGCTGGACCAGCTGTGCACTGCATGAATATGGACCCGTGGAGAGTGTGGGGGCACCCACAACGACTGGAAGTGGTGGTTAAGGAACTGCAAGGCTGATGTATTGCAATGCTGCTGTGGATGGGATATTCCTTAGGCAGGGCATATCCAAAGCTCTCTTCTCTCCCTCAGATATCTGTTTCTTATTTACAAGACCTACCCACTTCCATTAGACTATCAGGATTTGCTAGTTTTCCGCAGTGTGAGTGCAGCAGAGAGCAGAGGGCTGATCTGCTCTGGTGCATTTGTGAATGAAAGTGAAGTGTGAAGGGAATTGCARTGCAGTGGCAGAGACCATGATCTCTGCTTCCATATCTACCAGTTTTGTACAGTGGAAATGAGCACAGAGCACTGGAGCTTTTGCTGGAGAACTTTGCCACTGGTGTAATTTACTGGCTGTTTTGGGTCACAGAGCAGTAATATGAAATCAAGTTCAACATGAATCCCCTTGGACTCCTTGTAGGGATCCTATGAGGATCTTTGCAGTAGCAGCTCCCTAAAGTCAATTGAAACACAGACAGTTCCATCTCCAGGTGAGGAGGAACTTCTTTCCTGTGAGGGTGACAGAGCCCTGGCACAGGCTGCCCAGGGAGGYTGTGGAGTCTCCTTCTCTGGAGRTCTTCCAAACCCGCCTGGCTGCCACCCTGTGCCCCGTGCTCTGGGTGTCCCTGCTGGAGCAGGAGAGTTGGACTGGGTGATCTCTAGAGGTCCCTTCCAACCTCAACCAGTCTGTGATTCTGTGAAAGCAGATTGCAAGACCGGTCCTGACTACTCAGTCCCAAATCCATGGCAAATGGATGAGCCCTGGCCCCGTAGGCTTTGCCATCTGGCTCCTATCACCCTGGGATGCTGTATGGGCTCACATGGTCCTTCTGCAGCCCCTTGTCTCTGAAGGGCCCAGGGAGCACTGGGCACCCAGCAGGTGCAAGGCTGAGAGCCCTGGTCCTCCCCAAGTACCTTGGGGTGCTACTTGAAGACCCGCTTTCCCTTCCAGGGACTTGTATTCAGTGCAACTATGCACAGGTATTATTGTTGCTCACTGACTGTTTTCATGAAATTTATATGTATTTTAAGCAAACAGAAAACCTGCACAGGCACAGGCCAGGGGAAGCCTGAGGCAGTAGCACAGAACTCATATCTCATACTTTTACATTTTTTCTTTATTAAAAATCCTTGCAGGAAAGTTCTTTTTTTTTTTTTTTTTTTTTTTTTTTTTTTTTTT